CACCACAAAACGTGCGATCCTCTGGAGGCGTTGATGAATGCCAAAGAGGAATGTCTATTTGGAATGAAAGTTCAATATAATACCATGTGTGAAATCAGGTTTGAATCATTTGAGATGCTTACGTAACCACGTAATTTCACAATAATTCTCCGTAATTGCCCCCTTTGATTGTTTTATAGCGGAACATTCGCATGCTAGTAAATAGGATTAGGGCACGCGATCTCCCCATTTGTAGTCTGGAGACATAACCATCATCAGGGTTTAAATTTTCTATGGCGACTGACATGTTGAAAAATGTGGATGATCAATCGCAAGACGTCAACGAAATGTTAGCTTAAAATGTTAGATTAATGTATTAAATGGTATGGACTTTGAGGTGAGAAAAGAAAAAAAATTAAATAATTAATTTTACACTCCATACACTGATATTGAACTATTTAATATTGGTCAATATACTGACCTACCAATCACAGGAATCAACAGTTAAAGAAAAGAAATGGTATTTTCACAAATTTGATATATATGTTGTTGAATATGTCATATCTATTTTTAGAAAGAACTATTCTTTGATGACACGCTTTACAACTCCCAGACTTGATTTAACGTACGGTCTCCGTTGTCATTTTCCCATCATTGAATATGGCCTCATCAAAAGCTATATAATACAAGAGTAATATGTTAACTAATTTAATATCAGAATGTTTTCCATATATCCCAAAGCAAAACGCATCGGGGACGCTACTTTAACCTTAATTATCCTTCACACCCCCTAAAAACAATATCTTCAAGGTCTGAAAATACATCGGAAGTATCACTGAGAGGTTCCATACATACTGGTTAAGATATCAGAATTCTCTCTATTTTCCAGTTCGCTACAATGTTTACCTTGTTTAATGTTGAACTTTATTGACAATAACCTTTCCCTTAACTTATTGATAGCTTTATTTACATATGTACACGCACGGGTTAAAACACGATCGTGGAGAGGACACGTGTGGTAATGGAAGTACCATACACCAGGAAATCACTCTCGTGCTTAATTTCCTACAAATTTCGCACTCCCTTTCTTAAGGGAGAGGGTGGCTCCCAGTTTATTGTCATAATGCACTTAGTTAATATCGTGAACTTCTAAGCCATTTGTAGGATTTCCTTTAATCTGAAGCGCGGTTTGGTGGTAAATATCAACGTGGCTTTAAGGACACTTTCATCAAATCGTGGCAAGACATCACTTACACACCACTCTGTCCGAACTTGTGAGGTATGCCAAAGTGTTCAAATCAATATAAGATATATTCTTCATTCTGTCTGGAGTCAAAAATAACACTTATAAAATTTCACATATGAAAGCAATCCATAGCACCATTATATACAAACTGATCTTAAAGAACTAACGATTCTATCTAGACCATGTACTTTCTAAACACTTATCCGTATAAATCTTTCTTTTGATCATATTTTGCCCCAGTTTTGTCTTTAATTAGAGTTTGTATTGTGAGCATGGTGACATATTGGTGTTATTCTTTTGTTTTGGAATATGATATATTAAAATAATGCATCTCTTCATATAGCTTGTTATTTCTTTCAGCAATTTGGATTTTTCACTGCCCTTGGTTTCATCAATTTAGGCCTCTAGAATCACAGACATATCATAGAAGGACGGAAAATTGCAGGATGTAGTTTAATTCAATATCCTAATATATTGTATCTGCTTCTTAGGTTGTATTGAAATGTGCGTTTGACTTTGTGTCTTTAGAACAATCACATGACATTTCTTAATACTCTATGATGGTAGGTATACTACGAAGTTCTTTAAAAAGAAGTATGGAGGAACTCGTGATACTATCAAAAATGGGAAGTCCCCAATATGTAGGTGAAATTAAAATGGTTATGAATGAATTGTAACGCCCTCGATTTCTGAAAACAATCTAGATAAATTCAATATTCTATTCGAATATTTGGTCACAAATTACAACGAAGATATTTCTTACTACGAAGCATTAATTCTCATTCTTATTTTGCAATATTTGTATTTAAAATGTTTAAACGAAAAAATACTTTCTGGCATAATTCACTATCATATAATGTTCGCCCATCAAGTAAATAACTCACTTATTAAAAGAATAAGGATAGTCATTTTGTTAGGTTTTGTTTTTATTTAGATTATTTTTTATGAAGATCAGAAATATTCTAAATGAAGAACTGTTGTTTATAAGCAAGTGTATAAGATTAGATTTAAGGTAGGACTGGAAGCTATGATGAAGGCTTGATCAAATAGCTAGCCTAATTAGCGATAGAATGCTTTTTATTAGCTCCTGATTTTATGTAATCCAATCCAAACGAGTATGGTCCGTATATTGTAATTGTATACCGAACAGAAGCATTAATATTCATGAATGACGACGTCTTTGGAAAGACTAAACAATATGCATAGTTATAGCAGTCAACTTTCTTTTTGTTATCGTCGCGGATTCATTATTAGATGAGTTTATGCCGACGCAACTGCGTACCTTAGATGCTTATCGTTAATACTGACACGGATCAAGAAATAAAGGAATGACATCCAGGTATTGTTAAGTAAAATAGCTACCAGCTACTTGAAGGTTCCTCCTTAAAATGTCCTTGGATTTTCACGAGACCATAAACTCTGTTAATAAATACTTCCACGTTGGAATTTTTTTATGCAGGATGATAGGACTGATGGATTATTCCACTACGAAAGCGAAATTATAACTAAATGTCCCAGGCAAAGCTAGCACGAATAATTGACTAAAATTCGAGTTTTTTAAAAAAGAATATAATGTAAAAAAAAAGGTACTCTGATTCCAAAATATGAAAAGATGTGAACACTTATGACGTGAAAGTGTATGAACTCCGACAACACGTGTTGTTTTACTGTCCTCAGAACACCAGTTTAATAGTTTAATTAGTTGTCCAAGCAAAGGCAATACAGTAACTAACGAATAGTTAGATAATTAATGGTCGATAGAAAGTATTTTTTTAAAAAGTTACACTCTATCATAATCAGTTGAGTTCAAACTTCCGACTTCAATAGCATGCCACACTAAAAGGTTAACGAATAAAAACATATTTTTTGTTTGGCACTTGTCACGTGTTATATTGATTTTGTAATTTCATCTCCATGTTATATGGATTTTGCCATGAAAATGCATTCATTTACTTTGGTTTCAATATTTCATCCTGATTTGAAATGGTGGAGCAGAAAATGCAGTAATTGTCCTTAAACTGATTTGAAATGGAATACATGAATAATTACACCTGATGACTTTCGTACCGTCCTGTTCGTGCCGATGAAGCATGACCACGTTACGTAACAGGAGAATGCCTATTGAAGATGTCAACGATTGATTGCATAGCGTAGAACAATAACGAATGCAAACTACCCATTGCAACAAATGGTTATTGTGAATACTGGCAGATACAAATAATATCATACTAGAGATCACCTTTTTACGATTGTTCTAATGTTTATAACTGATCACAGATATCGTTTCTATAAATATTAATCCAAAAGCGATACGTCTGGTGATGGTATTCTGAAATGTTGGAACTCCCTTGAGATTGCAAAAGATATTGAATTTTGTTTTTCAAAATCGGCATGTCATTGATATCATGTCATTTCATGACTGTAACTGTAAAAATAAGATTTATTTAAATGGACAGATTGAAACGACGTTGAAAAAGCCTTTTGTGAATTTTTAAAAATGGTTAAAAAAACAGATACACACCGATAGGGAGGTGAACTAATCCTTGAATTAAATGATACTTATAATCAAAAATACCGAAGGATTTCAAATGGAACGTCATAAAAAACATGAATATTCTGAATTTAAAGTAAAACATGTTTTTTCCATATATTTTCCAAACTATTCACATGGCAATCCAGCTGTTGTATAGATATACATTTATATCACATCAATGAAGCATGACTTGATTGGATAACTGCAATTTGAACGTGTGCTTCACGCGCAATAAGTAGTTCACCATTGTTTCTGTAATGTATTTACTTTATTTGAATTTCTAGTTATCATTTGCGATCCGTTACAATATCTATATTCTTTCTAACATTGTCTTGAATATTAATAAAAACATTTCACTTAAGGATGTACTCTTCCTATAAGTGATTACTTTTTATAATTAAACATATATTCTTATATATGTATAACTTGAAAAAGAAATTAACGGCATACAGAAAAGCAGAAACAAAAAAGAGATAGTTCTGTGTGTTCGTTTTTTCATAGTAGACCATTGAAAACCGAGTTTTCATTGTGATTGAAACAGGTCACAGAAACTAGTGGTCATGGTATTTCTAACTAAAGTTTATGTTTTCTGTAACTTTGGGAAAACAATTAACGAAATGAAAGAAATGTCAAATACCACGGCTACTCTTTGTGTATCCTATATTTATCTATTCATCTCATGAATTCTCGTCTACTTCAAACAGAAATTTTAATTTGCATTGAATTAAACAAATGTAATAGAGCATAAATTCTTTCCGAGTAAACATTTTTAAATATGTCTACATATATTTACATTATTCTTACTTAATACTCCAGATTTAGTGTTACTGTTGCTGCTAATATTGATATTTTCCGTTTAAGATCGTTAAATTTAATTCACCAGAATTAAGGTCAGGTGGTGTTATCTACTATGAATCTTTAATTAATTGATAATCCCGGACAAAGCAAACCGCAATGACCACCGGGTGATAACTCGCCAGTTGAATTACATATAATGTCGTATTTTCGATTTTCTGCAGACTACCGATGCTAGAAATTCTTCTAAATTCAACCACGATACGATCAAGTAATGGGGGTGGGGGAATATTTTCGTGTTTCTGATTAACGAAATATTTCAGTTTGTGTGATCCACAACGCAAACGATTAGAAATGGACACATCAATACTCTCATCCATCATACTAATAATGGCATTGAACTTTTGACTTAGGGAATCATTAATAATTGTTTATACCTTTCAGGTTTTCTTCGTTCCCTTCACATGATGGACCAGACATTGATCTACCTGACTGTTTACCTGTCAATACTTCTACACGTCACAACAGGTAAATTTATAATACACAGATATTCATCTTCATTATCACACAAGCATGCCCTAAGGATAGTATGTTTTCAAATCAGTCTATAAAATCCCAATTTTGAGAGTGAAGTTAACCCGAGAGTCATCATTTTAGTGGCAAGTTGTGGCTATAATAGCCGTTAGGACTTCTATTCTCTAACACTAAAGAGTACTTCACTGGAAGTTAGCAATAATCTGCAAAGTTCGAGCCCCTAGAGTGTTTCAGAGGACGTTAACTGTTGTCGATAATGCCAGATATCACAAATATATCTTTATGGAGCTTCAGACACAAAGACTCTGAAGCCAATGGAATATTTTGATAGAGTCGCAAATAATAGTTGCGTTTCACTACATCGATAACTTAAAATAGAAAATTAATGTATCTTAATGACGTCATCCGCACGTCGTTGTCCTGATGTGGTAAAATAAGTAGGTTATTCAGTTCCTCAATATTAACAGGAATCTGCAATCCTTTATCAGCCATCACGATCACTAAGATCGGGGATAGAATCCTTGTTATTTGTTCCAAACCTCTGTACATTGGCGTTGTAAACAGATGTTTCGGAAATTTGATAGGAATAGCTTACCATCTATTACCATGAAGTCGTGAGCCCTAAAGAAACATGAAAAGGTTGTTCACGTTGTGTGCATATATGTATTCACCGTTATTGTGTAACAATGGAATGACATTTACTCCTGTAATGTACAGCATTTAAGACAAATTTTGCAAATTCAATAATGCGTTATATTATTATTTTATATTATCAATTAAGTATGTTTAAACTCTTAGATATACAAATAACATTATATGTTTAGACTTTGACTAAAGTTAGACTCCGTCATAAAGATTTATCAGCACAATACATGTGATTGATATACAAAAAATATTATATGTTTAGACTTTGACTAAAGTTAGACTCCGTCATAAAGATTTATCAGCACAATACATGTGATTGATATACAAATAACATTATATGTTTAGACTTTGACTAAAGTTAGACTCCGTCATAAAGATTTATCAGCACAACACATGTGATTGATATACAAATAATATTATATGTTTAGACTTTGACTAAAGTTAGACTCCGTCATAAGGATTTATCAGCACAATACATGTGATTGTTACAGAGGCCTATCCCGGAATAGCTGAGGAGGATGATAACTACAATAATCTAAGACAATTCTATGACGATTTAATCCTGGATGCTCCTTCTTCTGAGAAAAGAGTAGCACCAAAATATCCACAGGATTATTGGGGAAGATCTGAGACCAGCCGAGTAAACGACAACACACTCTTCAATCTATTCCGTCGTCGTAGTACATGGGGAAATGGCGGTACTGGCAGATCCGGTAGGTGGACCGGAAGTCAGAGAATCACACCATACGTCACATACAGTGATGGCGTCAACTACAAAAGCAACAGAAACAACTACGGTTTGGCGTCCCCAAGTTCCTGGTATGGTCGTGGTTGGTACAGGGTCCTGTCACGTGCTAATCAGCCAAGCTACCGCGGGGATCGTCGGAACACAAATTCATATATGGATCTTTACTAATTAATAAATTGTGCAAATTAATACTTGATTGATATAATTTAAAGATATTTAACTGGGTCAAAACGCAAATGTTAAAACCGGTAGTAAGTCTATATCAACTTATAAAATCTGATGGCGATTCGAAAAGGGCCTACGGTGGTGAGCTCCTGGTCGATGCATTGAAGGTTGTCATCATCAGACGCCACATATCAACACATATACAGTAGCATGTCTTGACTCCAGAGAAAAGAGCAAATGGTTTGAATGATGTCGTCTGTGCGAAGCGATTGTTCAGAATGTATGAGATCTCTATCGAAGTTGATAGTTTGCTGAGCAAGCCTTCCTTTTAGCCCTCTGTTGATGTCTTTATTCAGAAGGTACTATTTTATCATTATTTTCATATTTAAATCCTATTTTTGTATTCATACAGAGAACAATTTCATTATATCTTTACTACTGACGGATACACTCGGTCGATTGGTCACAATATAGACATTATTAAACACATTACAAAATTGTTTGGTGGGTTTGTTTTCAAACATGATCTTTGTGAAATTCATTTCACAATACATGTGCACTGGTCAGATATTCCTTTTCTTCCAAACTGTAATCTTTCGGGCAAAACATTATATAAGTAGGTGAGTAGCTGTTAAACAGGTCATACCAAGTATTCAACATAAAAAAATAATATAAAATTGTTCAATTTATTTGATAATTTCCTGTCACGCTTGTGATTGTATTGTCACGTTATGAAGTATATTGTAAAGTTTTTAATGCTGGAATGGTCACCGTATTTTCATTGTTTCCCGACTATTCGTGTTTAACAATAGCGCCTGATTTAGTCCATCAATTGCTCTGTTGAGAAGCTGATGATGGGTGTGTAACAGTTAATGAACACATCATTACCTGTTCATTGCGTAATCTCATGAATTAGGTCCATAAACAGAGGTGTTACACACACAATCTTCGTGTATTATCACGGTAGTAAGTAAATCTTGTGTCACGACACTCTGGAGTCAAATTTTAAAACCTCTGTACCAACCATGTCCGACAATGATTTCTAGACGTGATTATGGTTCTTTATTCCTCACAAAATTTTGATGACATTTGGTTATTTTTGTATCACTGAAAATAGAAGTTCATAATTAGTCTGTATGTAATGTTAACCGCTGACTGATTTAGTTACTACCTCGATCGCTAGTTATAAAACATGCGTAATAATGACATCATGTCCTCCTCCAAAGTTAGTGACATATTTATAGCTTTCCTGACTTACATGCATTGTAATCATGAATATTTTAACTGGGATAATGTTCTTATCATTGAGAATCAGAAACCCTTTTTAAGTTCCAAATCGCACTATCCATATTTCTGCATTCGCCTACCTTCTCTTTGAGTGATGAATGCGATTGTTGTTGTCGTTTTACTTTTCAATAAAACAAAGAACTAATAGAAATTGTTGTCTGCTTATCTTCACGCCATTTTTCAATGCTCTGAGTAATGCTCAGCCGTCACACTGTAGAAGGGTATTCATTGTCTGGGCGACGTAATCCCAACTCCTCAATATATTCACTAATCACTTTTGGGATCTGAAAATCTCCAAGGCATTTATTATGACATTTTCAAATAACAGTGAAGCGGCGTTGATGATAAGTCTGGAGAGTTCGTGTGATGCAATAAGCAAATTCATACAAAACCTGATGTTACTGGTCATATTCAAACATATAATAGCGAGGATGCAAATCTGATATATTTACTGGGTCACTTGTACAAAAACATAAAGCGGAGACATTAATATAGGTCATTAATCGCTGGATTTGAATATATAGCGTGCACGCAAAGTTTCAAATATATAAAGAGGGGACGTTAATCTAGGTCATTCATATTCAAACATATCTAGCGGGGACGTGAATCTAGGTCATTCATATTCAAACATATCTAGCGGGGACGTGAATCTCGGTCATTCATATTCAAACATATCTAGCGGGGACGTGAATCTAGGTCATTCATATTCAAACATATCCAGCGGGGACGTGAATCTCGGTCATTCATATTCATACGATATACTGGGATTGTGAATTCGGGTCATACATACTTACATGCAGAGCAAGGATGTGAGCCTGGGTCATTTCTCTTCCTTATATGACCCGAGATACTGATAGGACAGTACGGTAATAAAATTCCTGTCATGATTTAAAGTTAAAACAATATCTCAACATCGATCAACGAAACAAGGACAATCTATGGGGAAAATTTTAAATGAGACAATTTATAAAAATTGTTAACGTCCTCAATTTGATCGACGACACAAGCTCTGAATATCTAGGTCAATGCAAGAAATGCCATGTTCTCATATATAAGCTAAATATGCTAATAGTTTAAATAGCATATCTACCTGTATATCACTCAATGTAATTTTTTTCCCTACCGAGATGATAATGGCGACCAAAACACTACCCTGTAGTCGTCATCAACCTCCACGTATTGACTCTTTCTGACAGCAGTCGAAATCTTGCATGATACTAGAAACAGACCTAGAATAACATAACGTTCTAACTTTTCAATCACCATAGGTTGGAAAGGCATGGACTTTCTCATCCTTCATAAGAATCCAATACAAACTAGGAGTGTCCGTATCATCTAATTCTGAGGGATTATGTATGAATCATTCAGCATTACGTCTTTGTATAGAAAACGTGTAGGTAGTACCGCCTTCGTTATAAATCAGTTTCATTTTTATTCGTAAATAGGTTATATAAATTCTTCGCAGAAAATCACCTACTTGTTTTAGATCTTATCTGTAAACACTATCATGTTCTTTTCAAGCAAATCGTTCGATGTGAATTTGACACAGGCGTCAAGAAATACACATTTCCGTTATTACTTTTATATTTAAAACTGCTGATCCATTTTAAATGATTTCTGATTGAGTCGACCCTGAGAGTGAACCAAACTCCTCGTCTCCAACGGTTGATTTTAACAATAAGAACATAAAAATCGCTACTACAGGAACTGATTTAATTATCAAAAAAGTTGATTTGACGTTGTCATTTAATGGTGTTACAAAGGACAAAAATAACTAAATATTTCTAGGGTTTCATGTTTGCAATTGAATAATGTAGGATATAAACGACTTGGATATCTTGTAAACGACATATTGTAAATATCAACAATAAACTTTATTTAGAAGTGTCACTGTGTTGGCAAGGGGAGCATAATTAGATATTCTATCACTTGTGCACACGCTATAAGCGCTATTTGAAATTATTCCTTGGCATTTTCAGAAATACTGACACACAACAACTGTCATGTTGCCTCACAAATAGCCTTTTGTAAACTTATTCATGTATACACACGGGAGGTCTAAAATGCAGATTTCTCTGTATAACAGATCTAAAACTTCGGACCCGCGTTTACAGCTTTAGAAAAGATAGCTGTTTTGAGAATTCAAGTGTTCTTTCAAAGCCTGATGGGAGATACCTTGATATACTTTGTTGTTTGCTAATCAATAAAGGAAAGGTGGTTATCGTTCTCAATGGAATAATTAATGTCACTCATGTCCACTGGTCTTAAGTTTCATAAGATTCATACACCTTTTAATTGTGTTCGAGGGCATGGTTAGAACATTCTGTTTATGTCTGTAGAATATTGTAAGAGGATCAATTAAAAATGAACATTTTCTATTTGTTATGGTTGACTCGAAAACCGGCGTAACGTGGAAGATGCCTTTCATTAGTAAGTCTTCGAGACATTCCTTGTTACACCACGAGGTTTTCTGTAACCTGTATGTAAGTTACAGTAAGAACCTAAATTGTAAAGAACCATCAGCAATGTGTTACAGTCTTTATACATGTCGATCAGAAGTTTCGTACCACGGAGAAAGAAAATATTGTCATGACTTCCGTAACATTGACACGGAGAAAGAAAATATTGTCATGACTTCCGCAACATTCAAACGGAGAGAGAAAATATTGTCATGACTTCCGCAACATTCAAACGGAGAGAGAAAATATTGTCATGACTTCCGCAACATTCAAACGGAGAGAGAAAGTATTGTCATGACTTCCGCAACATTCAAACGGAGAGAGAAAATATTGTCATGACTTCCGCAACATTCAAACGGAGAGAGAAAATATTGTCATGACTTCCGCAACATTGACACGGAGAGAGAAAATATTGTCATGACTTCCGCAACATTGACACGGAGAAAGAAAATATTGTCATGACTTCCGCAACATTCAAACGGAGAGAGAAAATATTGTCATGACTTCCGCAACATTGACACGGAGAGAGAAAATATTGTCATGACTTCCGCAACATTGACACGGAGAAAGAAAATATTGTCATGACTTCCGCAACATTCAAACGGAGAAAGAAAATATTGTCATGACTTCTGCAACATTGACACGGAGAAAGAAAATATTGTCATGACTTCCGCAACATTGACACGGAGAGGAAAATATTGTCATGACTTCCGTAACATTGACACGGAGAGAGAAAAAATATTGTCATGACTTCCGCAACATTGACACGGAGAGAGAAAAAATACTGTCATGACTTCCGTAACATTGACACGGAGAGAGAAAAACATTGTCATGACTTCCGTAACATTGACACGGAGAGAGAAAAAATATTGTCATGACTTCCGTAACATTGACACGCTCAGAGAAAATACAGTCATGACTTCCAAAGCAACGCAGTACATTTTAGGGCTCTCCGAACATTAACACATCGTAAAAAAAAATTATTTCTTCAAGACTTCAGTTAACACCTATTATCAGTGCCCCCCTAGGTAGGTACTATCTGATATATCACTACACCTGTTAATCAGTGTCCCTAGGTAGGTACCATCTGATATATCACTACACCTGTTAATCAGTGTCCCCCTAGGTAGGTACCATCTGATATATCACTACACCTATTATTCAGTGTCCCTAGGTAGGTACCATCTGATATATCACTACACCTGTTCATCAGTGTCCCCCTAGGTAGGTACCATCCGATATATCACTACACCTGTT